GTTAGCTTTTCTAACTTTTGGAGTACTGCTTTTCTTCAGTTCTCACTTTTCACTTCATAAATATGTATTTATCATGAAAGATTATATCTTTTTAGGGTTCTTAATATTAATTTTGCCCATTAAAATCATTGCAGTGGGATCTGGTCTATCTGATGGGGTAAGAAAGTTATTAGTTTAAAACTGCCCTTGCTGAAGCAATTAGGACCTTTGCCATGGATTTTAGTGATGTCAGGATATTGTTCTTTTAGCATTTACACACAACTCTTGTCGGAAGTATGGTGTAACACTTTAAAAAAAATGTCACCTGTTTAGAAATAGGCTGTGCTAATCAGACATACCAGCAGATTTCTCTGGGCCTCCCTGAGTGCTTTTTGAAGTCCAGTTATGTGAGGATGGTACCAGAGGAAGATGTGTGGTCTTCATATGGGGGTGGCTTTCAAGGTTGTTTTATACATTTCATGTGGAAGGATGGAAGTAAGTATTTGACTTTCTGACTTTCTCGAGATAGAAACGTTGGAAAGAAAATACAAGATTGTGCTAGAAGAGCTACAGTAAGGGTGTTATGATGAGTCTGAGAGGTCCTGGCTATGCAGAGGGTAGTAGAGCCAGCGGCATATGGAGACATGATGCTGAGCAGGAATAGAAGGCACCTGAGCTCTGATAGGAAGCAGACCCTTGATGGGACTCTGCAGATTGGACACAAGGGAAGGAAGAGGTAGGGACTCAAAAGTGTCTGCCCCTAACCCACAGACCTCTTGTTGCTAGCTAAATGGGAACAGCAGCAATGAAGTACTCTCTACTTCACTCTCAGGTTCTGAAGAATAGGTTTCCAACCTTGTCATTGTTGCCCTGCAAGTATGGTAGGTCTGCCAAAGGTATGTGATTGCTCTTTGGGGTTCTTCTGCGTCGCTGAATTTATCAATTCTTTCTCCCCTCAATACCAATCTTATCTTTCCCCATGCTTCCAAAGCTTCCATTTCTAGGTTCCCTCTCTTTACTGCTTCTAAAATCTCTCAGTTACCTTCGTCTATCTGGAAACCTCTAGTGGACACCATTTTCTGTTATTTTTAGAGACCAGAAATCAAAAAATTTCTGAAGAATACTGTGGGCTATGCAATATCTATTTCTTTCCCGTAAATTACTCCTTAGGCCTAAGATCTTAGCTATGCTCAAGTGTTTTGGTCTTGTTTCCTTTGGGGTTTTTTTTGTGTTGTAAACCTCTAGGTAATCTTTTAAGTAGGGTAAAAAGAATAAACTAGCAGCATGGTTTACCTAATGAAATTATGCAGAAAATGAAATTGAAGTAATACAATTGCTTTTGACAAGAACCTTCTCCAGATTAAAAAAAAAAAAAACCCAAAATCTCTCTTGTTCCAGTTTATTATATCAGTAAGCTAACTAGTTAATTTAAAGGGAATCTAAAAGGATTTAGAAAGGAATTTTGAAAAGTCGGAAAGCTTTTGCTTTCCTTCTCCAGAGTTAGGCATAAGATTTTGATATTAGAATATTCAAAGGGTTGAAAACTGTGGCAATCAGAAGCAAGCAGTTCAGGTCATTAACATTAAAACATATTTCTTTGTTTTTATTATATTATTTTGCATAAAGGCTAAAAATGGTTCTCTTAATTATTGTATATTATGTCAAACAGCTGTTATGTAGGTTTCATACTAGATTATTCATTTATCATCCAATTTATTATTTAAATAATAGAATGCAAAAAACTTTCAAATTCTGCAATATAATTCCGTTAAGACTTATATTTAACAAAGTACACATAGATAATGATGCTGATTAACAATAAGAAATACAAAATTTGACACAGTTTTATTTAGTTCCAAACCAATGTATCTTAATCTTCATAATGGAGTATCAACATTCTTTAGGAGTCCAACTAAAACCATTCTCTCTCCATGTTGGTATATTTAGCAAGAGGATTTAAATAATTTATTTATTCTAATTTACTAACCTCAGTCACAGCTAAAATGATTTATTAATAGCACTTTTATTTAAAAAAAAGAAAAAAATTATCCTAAAAGCATTTAAAAAATATAATAAAATGAAGTAGGCATCAAAACCAATAAACTCTTTAAAAATGTCTTTATTTTATAACCACTCCTATGACAGTTTGTAATTGGAAATAGCCTTCTAGAAAGTTAGCTTTTCTAACTTTTGGAGTACTGCCCTTCTTTAATTCTTTAGTTTAGTTTGTTTAAATTTTATAAAAAAAGTCCTGCAAGAACCCCTCATGATTTGAAACGGAGTATATGGAGGATGTCAAAGAGGAGTAGTTGTCAATCCCAGTTGATCTTCAGCTACAGTGTGGTCTGTTACTGAGTTAAATTATCATTATGATACCCAGAAACCCCAAGTGTTGTGCTGAGTATCACTCTGGTGAAATAATGTTTTCATTTCAGAATTCTTAAAGTATTAGGAATACTTTTTCACTATTTTTCCCCTAAATGGCATCTGATACAGATTAAATAATAGGCATTTCATGTTTGGACTAATTTATCTTCATAGGAAAAATCTGAAAATAAACTGTCTTGGTGGCAAACTCAGTCCAACCTTAATCCGGGAGCTCCTACTAATGCTTCCAAAATACAATTATCATACCAAGGACTGTACTGTGATACAAAAGAAAACTGGCAGAGAAGGCAAAGCAAAAGATATAAATAGGATAGAAATTTTGAAGTATGATCAAGAAACTGAAATAAGATTGATTTATTTGTTTAACATTTAAATATGAGGTATTCACATATGTACTGTTAAATATCAATAGTTTTATGGAGGGTGTCCCCAGCATCAGGTGAGGCAGGCTTTCACCTGCTAAGCATGTTTATATGATGCGAAAAGGCAACGTGTGCCGAAAGTTTTTCATTTAATCCCTCTTCCACCCAAAAATATTCAAATGGAGTAAACTTTAAACATGTTACTCCCCAACATATTTTGAAAGCAACAGTTAAAACATTATTTCAAAAGTATGCTTGCATCACTTGGATTTGAGGGAGGGTCACATGATGCTAATTTTTCTTTTAATGTTCTGTTCTGCACCTCATCATTGGACTAAATGACTTGGAAAAACCTTGATATCTTTTCAAACTGTCTTTAATGGGTGGGCAAGAGAAATATGCTTTTTCTGAATATTTAAACACACTGGATGTTTGATTCAAGCATTGCAGTTAATGAAATACTTGCAGTACATCTTGAGTGTAACAAACCAGATTTGCAATTAACTATTGCAGTACATCTCCAGAGCAGCTCACCTTTATGATTTTGCCTTGCAGACACATTAATTTGGGGAAGTGATTTTGCAGGGTCATTGTATGAGCATTGGTCTCCTGTTCTTTAGAGACTGGTTCAAACCTCATGAAAAAGAAATTACCATTCTTGGGAGTTTCCTATCAACTAAACTGTGGATCAGAAGCCCAACTTCTGCTACTTATATGAACACAAGTTCTAAAAGACCCTTTGAGAGATGCTGGAGTTGGTAGCATGAAGATTATGTGTGGCTGTGTCTAAACAGAGCCTGCAGAGCTTCCCTTTGGCAGTGGAAGACTTCAAACTGATGTTCGTGTTCCTTCTAACCAAAGAAAGGTGTACCAGCATTTGAATTTTTTTTTTCTTTCTGTGCTATGTGCCTAGTTTATTGTCCAATGCCACAAGAATTCTGATCTAAAAAGCCTCATATTTCCCTAATTGCTAACAAAAAATAATTTCCCACCACCACCCAGTTTCAGTGTTATGGTTTGCCCTATTTCAGCCTGCTGAAGTTCAAGAATAAATATTAAAATCTGTTTTATAAAGACTGGCTAAATTGGAAGTGCTGTGAGGGGATATTTACCAATAGCTACTTTAGAAGTCCTTATGGTTTGTGATTTTTTTGGGTTTTTTTCTTTAGAAAATAATGAATAATAAATGAATGACATAAGTGACCAAAAAGATTAGTATATTGTTGCATGACATGAATAACAAATGCTTCCTGCTGTGACTTCAGATAGCTGAAGACAGGATACAGTTAATGTAGTTTATATAAACTATGTATGTTAGCTGAAGGATTACATTTTTTTAAATTAATTTTAAAGTGTTCATTACTGTTCCAAGTACAATGGCTTTTACTTTTTAATCTTTGGAACGTTTTTCCCTGGCATTTTTTTGTAGGTATGTATGACTGACTTTCATAAGTCTCCATCTAAGTATTTTTGCTTTTCAGGTGTGCATATGATTGCTGATATCTAGTTCATTTCCAAGTTACCATGTTTTAGTATGGACCAGGATGTTTCTGAATAGTCTGCTTCTGAGTCTGTAATCTATCGTGGATGATATTTCTCTCAAATTTTCAGAGAAATCCGGTATTTCAAAAGGCAATAGTTTTTTTTGTTTACTATCAATTATAGGTTTGTCTTTTAGTCATTTAATAATGGATATTTTTTAAATGGATTAACTGCATTAATAATAGAGAGGAGTTATATCCAGAAAAATTCAGGCTTTTTGCATGGTAGCACATGCATATGTGTAGATATGGACATCAGACATAATACATAAAAGTATTAATTCAGCTATTTATAGGGTCAACTCATGGGGAAAAAAATGTATTCTGCTTGCAATGACAAATAATAGACTGAAGACAGTACATATAATACATACATACATCCCAAAATAATTTGTTGCATCTGAGTTTCCTCAAAATTACTTAAACACAAAAATAATTTACATTGAACATTTTTCCTCCAAAAAGATGTAATTAACTCAAATATCACTTACTTGGAGGTTTTATCTACCATTCTGATTGAAAAAAAAAAAGGCTTAAAAGGGTGTAGGGGAAAATATGGTAAATAATTACAGTTAACTGTAATTTCTCTTATAGAGCAGATGGACTTCAGGATGATGGTATTCCTCATTATAGCACTTCCTGTTTTGCTATTGTGTTGCTTTAGAAGTCCTTTCATTTTTAGTCTTACCCTGACTTAGCTGTCTTGTTTCTTATGATCCTTTTGATTCAGGATGCAGAATAGAAAACTGCGACTCCTGCTTTAGCAGAGACTTTTGTACCAAATGCAAAACTGGCTTCTACTCGCACAGAGGCCGCTGCTTCCGAGGATGCCCCCCTGGATTTGCAGCCTTGGAGGAGCTTATGGAATGTGTGGGTGAGTCTTCTAGCACAACAGTGCTGCTGAAGCAGCTCTTTTGCCCGGTGGACAGGTTCAAATGCTTGTGACGCTATTTTTAAGCTGATGCTTAGTATTCTCTATCAAGAAATAAACACTAAGGAGTTGTGTCTGAGTCTCTTTACCCCTAATAATAATAATAAATAGTAATAATAATAACAGCTTTTTCCAAACTTTGCAATATTGCATTATTTGGAATATCACTTTGTTCTGCATCAGAAAGTTCTGTCCTCTTAACTGTAAGTCACCTTGTATGAGGATTTATAACTCAGAACTTGTAAGATTTCAGGAAGGCCAGTTTTTGCATTAGAACTTTAAGTCAATGATGTACTCGTTGGACTCTTGCCCTCGTAAAACTACCTGCTCATTTTGCCTTTTACCAAGGCCAGAATCCAGGGGCAGGGCAGATTGAATTCCTGTAGCGTCTGGCCTTCAAATTCACTTTTAGTTTCTCTGCAGCTTCCCCCCTTTTCCACTAGCAAGTAATAAATATAAACCACCAAATAATTGTTTTTAGTAGAAGTTTACTTTATAATTCTGAGGCAGCATTGGCAGTTTTCACAATGTTTCTCAAGTCTCACAATTTGGTGTTTTATCTTGAAGCCTGGGAACTGTGTCAGAACAGACTCTTTCTTTCAAGAGTATTCTTTCCATTTCATGATGGAGAGGACCTGGATTTGTGAACTCTTGAGATTTGCAAATCCAGGTGACAACCAGATAGGATTTATTCATTAAAAAGAGGAAAAATTTGAATCAATCTCATGATTTTAGGAGGGGTTTTGAATATTTGGGACTGAAATGATGTCTGTACATAACAGATTGATAGTCTGATGGTTTTATGCTCAAGTTGATGCTGGCTAAAAAGATTCTTTCAGGTTCTGTAACAGATTTTAATTTTGTTTCTAAGTTTTTTGTCTGTTAACAGTAAAACTTTCAAGTGGTGCTTTCTAATAGTGTATTCTAATTTAAAAATGAAAACAAAGCAAAAAAATGGAAGAAATGCTGACTTGTGTTTTCTTTTGCTTTATCAGAAGGCTGTGAAGTGGGTCAGTGGAGTGAGTGGGGAACTTGCAGTAGAAATAACAAAACATGTGGATTTAAGTGGGGCCTGGAAACGAGAACAAGACAAATTGTGAAGAAGCCAGCAAAAGACACGATACCGTGCCCAACCATTGCAGAATCCAGACGGTGTAAAATGGCCGTGAGGCATTGTCCAGGAGGTAAGCGTAGTCCATGCCACAAAAATCTTTATGAGCTTTCCTTAACTGAATTCCTATTTCTAACTTGAAAAAAGAGCTATTTCATCCCAGCTGGAGGGGAAATCCTGCCTCTGCTCTGCCAGCCAGGGCTGAAAGGCAGCAGTACTACGGCAGTCCTAATTTGTGCAGAAAGACTCCAGGGAAAGGCTCAGTGTGGGAGTGATCAGTCTCTCAGTAGACTCTGTTTTTCCTCGTGTGGTCCTGAGGTGCCCCGTGGAAGAACCATAACAGATTGCAGTTTGAGCTTCAGCATGAAAACAGTAGTGATGGTGGAATGACTAATTGCTCTGTGCATGACAGGGAAGACTGTGATTCTCAACCTCTCTGCAGATGGCACACTCAGTGCTGGTGTGATGGGTGTTTAAATTAAATGAAGTTAGTTACACATGGAATTGTTAGCTGCAACTATTAGCTGGAATGTGTTACTTGTTCTGAATGTTGTAGATCAGGGCCAAACTATGATAGATGTGACAAAAGCAGAATAGTGATAGATAACAAGCTTTTCAGTGTGAGACCCGCTTATGGCAATTACCACAAGTAGATAAAAAAAAAAAAATCATATTTCTTTATCATGGTGTTCTAAGACTTAAGTAGTGATGCTGATTTGAAAAAGGAAATGAAGTTTTAAATTTGTGTTCAGTTTTGTAGACTCCAAAGTTGAGACACGTCACTGGTAGAGAGGAGTTTTTGTTATCTTTTAAATTGAAATGATTAACCTTTTACTTGTGCACGCTGAACACTTAACACTGTTTTCAGAATTTGTAGGAGAGGCAGGTGATCAACAGGTGATAAAGATGCCACTCCTTTTGGAATCATAGGGTTAAAGAAAGATTCATGCTTGAAGGGACTTCAAGAGTTCTCTAGTCCAACCTCCTGCTGCAAGCTGGGTCAACTGTGAGATCAGACAAATAAAAAGGAATAAAGGGTTGCAGAGTCCTCAGAAAAGCCATAACCTGATGAATAAGCTAAACCTGAAATAATCTTAGAATAGGTACATAAATGTTTGCTTTGTGTTCTGGGATTGTTGAATATGTCTCTCTTGGCTTGAATATGCTGCCCACCAGTATGTGTGAAAATTATATATAAAGTTTTAGCTTACAGATTAAATCTGTGCAAGCTTCATTTTTGCCTGTAAGACCTTGCCGCAATCTGGAAGAGAATTTGAAGTTGATTCTCTGTTATCCAGGTTAAGTGAGTCTGTTATGCACTCTTCCTCCCTGTCCCACTGCCTACATGGATACACATCATGCACGCACACATAGTGCATAGTCATAGTGGTACTGGGGTGCATTGTACAGCGCAGTTAATCCGCAACCTAAATAAACTTCTCAAAGACATAGAAGAGCGGAACCTACAAAATTAACACTTCTGTAGGAAGGAAGAAGAAAAGGCAAAAATCAAGGGTGATTTGGGCTGCCATGGTACATGTCTCATGGTATCTTTGAATGCAAGTCAGCTGCATCTACATCAAGGTAGCTACACTTACTAGTGCTTGCAGCCTGCTGAGGTGGATGAGCTGTACCAGTTACTTCTAACAAACTCTGAAGTCCAAATGGGGTTAGCGATCAGATCAACTGGGGAAATGCATTACTGCTAAAATGGAAGGAATCAAAAAGAGCCAGTGTGACGTTCTACAAAATCTCCAATCAATATTGTCCTTTTTTGGCATTCAGATGCATGAAGTTTAGCCTGTAGTGGAAAATCTGAGAAAATTGCAGGGTATTTTCAATTCAACTCTATGTGGTAGAGATTTAGTCATTTTTGTACCCAATGTGTATAGAGGGAGGTATTTCATGGATGCAATGTCCAGCTTCTATGTAAACTCCTGGCAAGTAGAAATTTACAGGTGTGGGTTTAGTCTTGATAATTTAGTTAGGATACAAATTATTGAAATTGTTGTAAATAGTTTGAGAAATGTGCCTAAGTGGACCACAATATTTACGAATGCTGTAGCATGCTCATGTAACTGTGGTAATCTGGAGCTATTGAACATTCATACCTTTTTGTAGCAAATCCACTTAGGATGTTTCAGATTTTCTTGTCCAGCAATTCAGGTCACTGATTAAAGATTTACCTCTCAAATTTTATCTTTTCAAAGGCACAGTGGTGGGATTTCCTAAGAGTTAGGAAATTTATTGCCTAGTCTATACCAAATCTTTGACCAAATCTCTGCATTTTTTTTCACTGCGTATCAGGAAAGTTGTGGCTGCAAATACAAATTCAGTGTGAAAGGCTTGTAGTATTCTCTTGTAACCATGGGCTCCAGTAAATCCTAAAGATTACCATCCTTTCCTGTCCTCCCATGGTGTGGAATTCCCTGCCTGTGTTTTCGAGATAAAAATAAATATGTACAAAACTGCAGGTTTGAGCTCTCAGCACTGAATGCTGATGCTTAATACTGCTTCTGTGCAATCATATAAACCACTGGCCAGAGTATAAACTCCTGTATGTCTCCTGAGAAACTCCTGGGAGGGAGTGTGTTAGCGGTGTTTTAAGTGCCTGGGATAAGTCTTCCCCAGGCCTGGTTATCTCTGCAGGAGAGGAAGCCTATGAGACTGTCCTGTTCAAAACTCCTGCTTCGTAGTATGTTTTAATTATGATTATATACATGACTGGTCTAAGATCCCATTCCTTTATCATATAGACCAGCCGGGTTAGCTCAGTTGGTCAGAGCATGGTGCTAATAACACCAAGTTCACAGGTTCAATCCCTGCTCACTGCAGGGGGGTTGGGCTCGATGACCTCTGTAAGGTCCCTTCCAACCCAAAGCATTCTATGATTCTATATTTAATTTAGTTAGTAGATTGCCCATTAGACACTTGAAATATTTCTTTGCTTACTTGTTGTGAAGTAGCAGGAGGCAGAGATGCTGTTACAGGGAAGCTAAAATCAAGCTGATCCTGGCTGTTAAGGAGGAGTTTCTGTGTTTTTAAAAATGCAATGTTTTCCTAATGTTAGAAATTTTGTAATTGAACTTTTAAACTGAGGAAATAAGAGAAAAATGTAAGGTTAGCGCTACTGGGGGACTGAAGAACCATAATCCCTGTAAATGTTGGTTGAGAGGCTGTTAATAAATCCTTTCTCCCTAATGTTCTCAGTACATAAACTCACACAAATGTGTAGGATAAGTATTGGATTATATAGCTAAGATGGTTGTAGATTGTGATGGATTAAACTGAGCACAGGAAGTACGGATATTTTTGGTAGAACAGGATCAAATAAAGTGCTTTTGACACATGCTTTCTACTTCTGTACATTTTACAGTTACTATTTATGGTCCACATCACAGAAAAACTTCGAAACAGATTTCTACAGGTTTGCAGAAGAAGAGTTAAATTCAGTTTTCCTACTAAGTATTTCAGTTTCATATTTATCAAGGATTGAGATGTTACCCATTTCGCCATATGGCTGTGGTACAAATCTAGCTGATGAAGAAGAATTCTTTGTCACTTTCCCAGTATTTGCAGAGTTGTAGAGGTACAAGCTGGAATGCAAGTGAAAGACGATTTCACTTCTTTCCTACCAAAGCCAGCAACATAAGCGGATACTGTACTTGATTTCAAATATGTTACTTGGTGGTGTTTTCTTATTGTCAGTACCAATTGATTTAAATGTTATTACCAGATGGGAATGTCACATTTGTGTATCTGTTCATGTTATGTATGTTACCCTGCAGCTTGGGTGTAACATGACTCATACTGTGAGAGGTTAGACTTAGAAGAAGATGACTGGCATCATTCAGGCCTCCTCCTACCCATGCTGGTCTCTGCCTGATAAGGAATTTTCTCCTCTTTAGCTCAAAAAGAAAGAAAAAGAAAGAATTTTTAAAGAAGACTGATTACGTTACAAGCAATGGGGAAATTAGCAGGCAGAAATGTTCTATGGGCTGATACAACTTGCTGTCTACAAGTTTTCCCATATGTTTATTATAAATATTCTTTTTGCCTCTTATTTTTACATGTTCCCCATGTTCACCTCAGTAAATTACTCCTCTTCTGTTTGTACCCTGGAGGTACTTGCAGATTGCTCTCATGTTTAAGTATTACAAAGGCAAGCAAAGCAGCTTTCTACTACTTTTAGTCTTCCATGAGACTTCCGTTCTTCAAGTTATCTGATCCACAAATATTACTTTATTATTTCTAGAATAAATTATGATGCCATTTCTGAATGGTTATTTCTGACATGAAGAGAGATGAAGATGGGATGTATGTCTGCATTACTTTCCCGAGCTCGAAAGAGGGAAGGTAGCAGGACAGGTCATGAGGCTACAGTGGGAAGGACTTCTTTCCTTGACACAGACATGTAACTGGATGGACTTTATGCTGCTTGATTGGACTTTGGAGGCTTTTTATGCAGTAATCTTTCTTCATTCCATTGTTGCAATAGTATTTAAGACTTGTGGAAGAGCAACAGTAAAAAGACCCAATCAAGCTTTCTGTCCTTATCCTGCAGTTACATTTCATTATTAATATTCAGAAATTATGACTGAAAAGATTAAAAGATTAAAGCATTTATACTTAAATATAGAAAACTAATAAATATGCAAAGCTGCAAAATGCATGTTAACTAAGTAGTGTGAGTTCTTTTAACCTGATAAGCTACTAGTGATATGGCAAACAGGGAGTTAATGATCCTAGTTTGCAAAAATATTTAAAGTAGGATAAATAATATTTAGACTAAAACTGTACATACACTTTGGTGAAGACACTAGCTATACACTTAAAGTATACTAAACTGACATAACTTCTAATAGAAGCTGTGTTACAGGTATAGTTATTTCTAGTGGGTAAGTATTTTCTTTCTTTAAATTGATATATTTCCTCTGAGAGTGAATATTTTAAAACTTCTGGCTTTAACTTGACAACCTGCAGTATAAAGGGTCAAAAATGTTCTTGTGTTGTCCCTCCACTCTTCCTGAAAGTTTGGTGCTAACATTTGTTTTCTTTTGAAACCTGGCAAAG